TATGGAGATTCCTGGGAAAGCTGGGAATGGAACCACCATTTGACCCAGCTATTGCCCTTCTTGGACTTTTCCCTGAAGACCTTAAAAGAGCGTACTACAGGGATACTGCTACATCGATGTTCATAGCAGCACAATTCACAATTGCTAGACTGTGGAACCAACCCAGATGCCCTTCAATAGATGAATGGATAAAAAAAATGTGGCATTTATACACCATGGAGTATTACGCAGCACTAAAAAATGACAAAATCATAGAATTTGCAGGGAAATGGATGGCACTAGAGCAGATTATGCTTAGTGAAGCTAGCCAATCCCTAAAAAACAAATACCAAATGTCTTCTTTTATATAATGAGAGCAACTAAGAACAGAGCAGGCAGGAAGAGCAGGAAGAAAAGATTAACATTAAACAGATACATGAGGTGGGATGGAAAGGGAGAGAAAAGGGAAATTGCATGGTAATGGAGGGAGACCCTCATTGTTATACAAAATTACATATAAGAGGTTGTGAGGGGAATGGGAAAATAAACAAGGAGAGATATGAATTACAGTGGATGGGGTAGAGAGAGAAGATGGGAGGGGAGGGAGGGGGGATGGTAGAGGATAGGAAAGGTAGCAGAATACAACAGTTACTAATAGGGCATTATGTAAAAATGTGGATGTGTAACCGATGTGATTCTGCAATCTGTATTGGGGGTAAAATTGGGAGTTCATAACCAACTTGAATCTAATGTATGAAATATGATATGTCAAGAGCTTTATAATGTTTTGAACAACCAATTTAAAAAAAATAAGTAGCTCTGTAAAATTTTTTTAAAGTAGCTCTAGATATTATAATGAGAAATAAATAAAAATGACACATTCAAGTCATTTAGCACAATGTCTATATAGAGAGATGGTCATTAAATAATTCCCTCACCCTAATCTACTCTAGAACATTAAACCAGCTCAATGTAGCATAATCTGTGACTAAGCCCTTCTACTTTCCCTTCTACCTCTAACTATACACACCCTATACACCTGAGTCTTTTCTCAGCCTGAGCTTCTGCCTCACTCAGCTGCTACTATGGCTGTGGCCTCCTCAGCAACTGCCACTAACATCAGTGCTTCTGCATTTAAAGTCAGACTTGCCTCAAAATTTTAAAAGGTTGAACATCATTCTGTAACATAACTGGCCAGTACCTTTCAAAAGTACCAAGGTCATAAAAGACAAAGACCAAGAACTGTCACAGACTCAAGGACTTGACTACAGACATGAAAAATAAAAATTAAATATAAGATCCTGAGTAGGACTTGCCCTGAAAAAGGACATTAATCAAAACAATGGCAAATGATTAAAGTCTGTAAATTAATTAAAAATATTATATTGTTGTAATTTATCAATTTCCTGCTTTCAATAATTACATTATGCTTGCATGTAATAACATAAATGCGAACTCTGCCAATTTTACAACTATTCTTTAATACTATTTTAAAATGAAAAGTTAAAATACTTTAAATGTGATTATTTGAAACTTTGTTATGGAAAAGCCTCTGTTCCAGGGGACTTGTTAATGATATATTATTGGGAAATAGTGCTACTTATGTTAAGCCTGTTGCAGTAAGGCCATCACACAGGTTAATGAAAAGTCAATTCCAAGGTATAGAAAATCCACTTTAATCAGAACTATTAGTTAGCAAATCAACTAAGTACCTATGATACCATGTATATACACTCAATTATACTGAGAATTTAATGACAGCAAATCATATTTTGTGTGACCTATAGTTTTATTAAATAAATATGCCTTTTTAATTAACTTTACTAAATAACATGCTTAAACAATAGCTCCACTGAGATCAACCTTTTACAGAAAAAGGGAGCTAGGAAAAGTTAACAAGATACAAAGAAGCATGTTCCAGTATGTACCTGCCTCCCTCCCCCATTCCTTTCTTTCTTTAGGAAGTTGCAGTGGTCAACAAGTTCCAAACAATACCCCTTTACAATAGAAAGGACAGACAGTTCTGCTATACCATGTGTTTCTGTAACATGAACTAGCTCAGAGATTGTTAGTAAAAGGAGAAAAGATGAATACAATGCAGAAGGTACATGTGTTTAAATGTAATTTTACCTCAGACCACGAATATTTTTCCTTATTATAGTAACAATAACCAAAAGCCATGTATGAGAAAAGAATCAGTATTACACATTTAATCATCTTCTAAAAAGTGGTTTCTGCAAAGTTAACCCTGATCTTTTCTTAAAAAAAAAAACTGCACACACATTGAAAATAAACTTTAAAAAGTAATATAAAACAATGATCATAGCATACACCTCTAATACCAGCATATTTTGCACAAAGTTTACAATCTTTCCTCTACTTGCAACTTATAATGACAATATCCTTCCTTGCCCTTGTATTCACAGACAGCCTCAACCCTTCCTTATATCATCTATAATTAGGCAATAATATTGCTTAGTGATTATTTGAAGTTAAATAACAAAATGTTAATACTTTTTTCTAAGTACTTAAAACCAAAAAAAAAAAAGGTAAAGGCAACAAATTTTTAATTTCTTATTTCATTAAAAATGCATACACCCTTGAAACATAGAATTTTAATCAGGATTATTTTGTTTTTTGTGCTTCAGTTACAAAGTTTCATAAACCTTACTAATTTAACTATGAATTTACAAACTGAAATTTTTCTAAAAATTAATATGTTATAAATTATGATAGAAATGATGTATCTTCACACAGTCTAAATATATAAAATGCCATTCCTGGGGGTTTTTTTCTGGTTTTTTTTAACATAAAAATATACTAACTTATTACCAAAGATTACTAATGTATCAATTAAATGTGCTCAACAAAAAGATTAAGAGCATTTTACATGGTCTCTAAATTCAACATTCAATTATTTCAATATTCATCACGTATTTCTTAGATATAATGTTCTAATGTAATAATGAAAATTACCATCTATGCTAAGATCAAACTGATGCTCTTTGTAAAGAACGCAAATATTCAATGTTGTTCAACATGGATTAAATCTATACATGAACATTTATCAAACCACCATCAATCTTCTAAAGCAGCCTATAAATTGTATGAAAACAAGGAGATGTGTCAAGAAAACGTTTTTGCTCTAAAACCAAAAAATAAACATTAAATAGTGTGTGGCTTTTATGGCTTTTACACTATTACCTCAAGTTAAATAAGAATTTAATATCAAACTTTTCCTTTCTTTCTCAAAGAAAGCAACAATATTGCTTAATGATTATTTATCATTAAAATATAAAACCAACAATAAATATTCTTTTGTGTATATGACTCCAGGTAGCAACAAGTATTATGAATGTGTATTTTATTTGTACCTGCCAAAGAAACGGCACATAGTTGACTCATTGAAAATATAATTCACCTGGAATAGCCACAATGTATTATAATAACTGTAATTTGAATATAAATGTTTTTTTTAAATAATTTATATAATAAATATCCATCATTTCAATATTTACCTAAAAGAACAGTGTTCTCTTTTCAATATAATCCATGATATGCTAGGATATGTTTATGAACCAATGCAACCCTGAATTTTAAGAAGCCTTTCTTACTTTTCAATTACCTATTAAAATTCACTTGCTTAGAGATAGCATGTTTCTTACTGGGGAGAAAAAAAAAATCTGCACAATTTTCTGCTTGCAGTGTGACCTCTTTCATTTGGGTAGGTATCTGCTCTATAACAGACTAAGTGAGGATGTAACCTTGTCAAACCAAAGGCAAAAGAATAATGAGGATACGACAGGCTTAACCGGCATGGAAAAGGTTTTGAAGGAGGTTGCAAAAATAGTACTCTGAATGAGAAAATTAAAGTACACTCCAAAGAATAGGTTAATATTAAAGAAGGTACTCAAAACCTAAGAAGCATTTAATCCCCATCCTTGGATGTCTGCCATTCAAAACTCCACTCAGATTTGTTTATTTCATTAGCTACTAACTAGATTTGGTTAATATATTTTCAAATGAATCCTAGTAGAACAATCAATCTTGAAGGAGATAAACTTATGGACTATTTCCACAAAGCATTAGCCAAAGGTAAGTATGAAGAAACAGATACTGGTTTGCTTTCACTAATTATAAATTATTATCCAATGAGAAGAAAATCATTATAATTCAAAAATAAGAAATACAAATTGGAAGTCTTCTTCACTCAATACCAGGCTTTACTACCACTAAAACAAACAACAGTACAACTGCTACAGTAGTTGCTAACCTAGTCCACTAACTTTCATAATAGAGAATTAAATTAAAACATTTTTATAAATAGCTGAAACCAAAAGAAATTAGGCAAGTTTTGCAGTAGTCTTCTCAGTGTGTCTTACTTTTAAAATAAACAAATAAAAATCTCAAATCTAAACCATTCAAGCATACACTAGGACTATGTATTATATCATTGTGTCAATTATGCACACTTTGACATTCCTTAAACAACTAAGACAGGAATGAAATTTTTGTTCCAGACCAGTCACAATATTTTAACAGAGAAACAGTGCCACCTTTTGGTTCTAAACAAAAGCCTCTAGTATAGTCTTCCCAAGTTCCTTTTTCAATTAAACTGTTGATACACATAACTATCATTAAATTTCACATCATAATTATAAGCTAAATTTTAGCTTCAAAAACTAAGAAACATTAAGGTAACATAAAAGTTGCTTACCAAGATGCAAAACTTCAAAATATTCCAAAGTAATACCAAATGCACATACTTTGGATCATCAAAATAATAATTTCTATCACTATTTCATTAAACACATTTTACCAAATCCAAATATGCCAATCAACTGATGTATCTTAATATAAAAGGTTTTTGTAGTATTATTATATTTCAAAATTAATTTTTTAATATAGTATTTACATTTTACTCATAACTTTGATAACTGGCCACATGGTATTACCAGCGGATTCACAGTTAAACTAGCATAAGAATAAATACAAAGATAGTATGTTTCTGAATTACTTACACCAATGATACAATGTCACCACGTTGTACTTCAAAATTCCTTACTTTCCAGTGATTCAAAAGTACCACATCTGATGACTGGCTTCCCCCAGGATTCAAAGAAGGCTAAAAAAATAAGAAAATAGATACATCTATCATTTGTATTTTTTAATATTTATTTTTCAGTTGCAATTGGTCACAATAACTTTATTTTATTTATTTTTTTATGTGGTGCTGAGGATCAAACCCAGGGCCTTGCACCTGCTAGGCGAGTACTCTACCACTGGGCCACAACCCCAGCCCCTCATTTGTATTTTTTAATCTTTACAGTCCTTGAACTTCATAGCTTGATTGGAATGCAGTAAAACATTTCTAATGTAGTACCTTTCAATAAATTGCTATTATAAAGTAACTGCAAATGATGAGTTTTCAAAAGGCTCATTGGGATTCTCCATAAATGAACCAGAAAAAATAATAATAAATTACCAATGCTTTTTTGAAAGAAAAAAAAAATGTGCTAAATATTCAAATCTTTACTAAACTCAAGTAGAGAAATATGGAAAGTTTTATAAAGAATTTTAAAAGTTGAGAAAGAAGCAACCCAATCCTCCCAATATTCAGATAGGACCCAATTACACAATAGCACACACACATCATTGTTCCATCTGGTGAAAAGAGGAAATAATCTCAAATCAACCAGTAGAAGACCCATATAAAAACTAGAGGGAGCAAAAGAAACAGGCAATTGGATAATCATTTAAAATGTAGGGATTTCCAGGCTGGAGTTGTAGCTCAGTGGTAGTGAGCTTGCCTAGAACGTGTGAGGCACTGGGTTTGATTCTCAGCACCACATATAAATAAATAAAATAAAAGTCCATTGACAACTAAGAAAAAAATATTCTAAAAAAAATGTAGGGATTTGCCATCTCAATCTCTCTTTTCCCAAGGGATCGTATTCCAAGGGATCTGGTCCCAGTTTGAGCCTATAATGGCTTTCATTCTAGGACTCAGACAAGTAAGTGTACCTATGCCTAAGAATAGATGGAAGAAAATGTTGAAAAACACTGTGTAAGAATTCATCTGAAGGAACCACCTACTAGGCACAAAAATATGAATGCCTTTTGGACAGGGGTACTGACAAAGTCAATGGATAACAAGTCTAAGACTTGAGGTGAGAATGGTGGGACAAAAGAACAAGAACTAAGAAATTTTCCATGGTTGACTGAGAACATCAACATGGGAAGTATTAACAATTTCTGTGGTTATGGGAAGGGTGCCAAACACCTGCAGCTCTCTGCCTTCACTGAGAGGCGGAGGAGACAAAACCACAGCAACCAGGGCAAGCAAGGAAAGCACTGAACACCAAGCAAAAGCCAGTCCCTGGAGTAGCAGTAACATTCTCTTTCTTAAAGATTCTTAGAATCATCGGTAGCTTTTCTACAAAGTAGAAATGGGCAAAGATGAGAAAATTTGGTATGGAGGCTATCATCATGACCTTAATTTTGATGCCCCAGGTTTGTGTAGCCAAAAATTGTTGGTTACCCTTGGAGATCTGAAATATTCCCAGAGTTCTCACCAACTTCTTGGTATAATAATTTCTAAATTTCTACCTTCATATTGAATTTCTCTAGCATCCCATTTGATTTTTCATCAGTTCCTTTAAAATAAAAAGTTTCTTATTTTCCTACATCCTATGTACCACTTTCCCAGTCCAGCTTAAAATCTTAATCATCTGTCTCCTTCCAACCAGTCACCAAGCTAAAGAGTTTTGTTTCTCATCATAATGTCTTTCAGCTGATTTTCTTTTTTCCACCATCATCATACCTTAAGCACCTCCATCACATAACTAGATAGATATAACACTAGTAGATACAACACTAATCAACCTCTTCTAACTCTGATGGAAAGGATTCCATTTTCTTTCTAGCTGTGTGAGCTTGAGCAAGTTATTTAACCTTAGCATGCATTTCTGTAATGGGAAAATGGTGATAATTAGTAACTATTACACAATTAATAATTAAATAATAGTCACTACCTACAGAGTACTTACTATAAGCACTATTCTAGTAATAATGAATAGACATTCTAGGTGGTTGATTTGTGCAAGACAGTGGGGATTTAAAAACACTAACTTATTTGGTGAGATCATTCATTTAAAGTGTTACAGCAGCTCTTGGTCCATAATTTACCTCTCAGTAACTTCTATTACTGATATTACTGCATCCCAATTTTAATTATGGGCAGTTTCATATCCTTTTTCCAGTTCCCTCTTTGCTGCATTCCTAAGTAAGGAACAGAGCTGTTGAGAGCCACAGCCGAAGGGGCTCCAGCAAACTTCCAGCTGCCAGCAAACTTCCAGCTGCCAGCTGATGATTGGCTCACAGCGGCCCCAGCAAACTTCTAGCTGCCAACTGATTGGCTCCTCTGCAGTGATGCTCATTGGGCTGTTTCCCCGCCCTTTCAGACCACAGAGCTGCTCATTGGGGGAATTTTTTTGGCTCTGCCCACGTGATCCAGCCAATCAGCCTCAAGAGCAGGAGGAGTGGGGGAGGTGAAGAGACTTGTGGGAAGCTGGTGGTGGCAGTTGGGCTCTGAGGGTTTTCCTGAGGAGCTGTGTGGTGTGGTGTGTGTGTGTGTGTTCTAAAAATAAAGTTCATTTCTTTTGACAAGTGGCTCCTGAATTGTGCCCAGCCAGACTGCGGCACAGAGCTGAGGCATGGAACAAGCCAGAAGAACTTTACTGGGCCATGGAGCTAGGGAATGGAATACCTGGTGTTGAAATAGCATGATTAGATTAAAAGTTGAGATTTCACAGAGTTCATTAGCTCTCATTCAAATTCAAATCTATTTCAAATTCTCTATCTCCCTCATCTTCTTTGTCTCTGAATTCTATGTCTTGTGAATTCCCTTTCCTTATTTCTTTCCTCCTATAAAACTGGTGTAAGTGAAGGTGGCCTGGGGGGCAGACATCTGGGCTCTAGACAACAGAGGGAAAATTTTCTTCCCACTGCTCTTTCACCATTTTTTTCCTTGCCATCAGAATAATGAAAAACAAAGATGATTTAATTATTTCTGATTGCTTTCCCATACTCTCTTTTATTGGTGTTTCTAAAAGTTTGTGAATCTTTTAGAACCATAAATAAGAAATGAATTTTATACTACATCCAGTACATGAACAAACACACGTTTAAATAAAATTTTGCAAAAGAATAATTACTTTGCTACATATACCTTTTTTTTTTCTTAATCTGTGCTTTTAAAATTCTGTCTATATCCAACTATATTGATTTTAAACTAACTATATGGATCTTGAACATACAAATGGCTTTGCAACCCAGTGTTAAAACCATGCTCTAAGGGCTCAGGGTGTGGCTCAGTGATAGAGTGTTTGCCTAGCATGAGTGAAGCCCTGGATTCAATCCCCAGCACCACCACCACCATCACAGAACATACATACGCGCGCGCACACACACACACACACACTTATATAGTATGTATAATGCTTTAGATGATTCTTCCTTAACCATTGTCCTTAAAAAATTATTTAATTAATTATAATTTCCAAGAATGATACCTTTAGTTCTTTTATCTGTCTCTAAATTCTTTCTCTAGAAAATTTCATCAATATTTTCAGTTTCAAATATTACCCTTAGGCTGATGGCTATTAAATGAATAATCCCAAGTGATTTTTCTCCTTCTATAAACTAAATTTATAGCAAGCACTTCATATTACAATACTGAGCATATTGTAACTTTTGTTTTACTTATTATTGGTCTTTACAACTAAGCAGGAAGCACATTTTATCCATCTTACAGGAATACTTTCCTAATATTCATCTTCTCCCTTTTTCCATCCTCAGTCACAGGTGATCAAAAATCCCAAGTTCCCCACCATATGTGATTATTTCTATCATATTATATTTAAATGTACATTATAATTACTCCCTCATCTTTTTTTCCAAGAGCCTTTATAAACATCTAGGAAACAGATTTTTTTTCCCTAGGTTTGTGTTCTTGAGTTCCAGGCACTTTGAAGGAAATTAACATATTTAAGTAGAAAGAATAAAAAAAATAGTGAAATTCCCAAGCACTTCCCAAATTAACATGCCCCAAACAGAGATGTTATTCCATTCACCTTAGCCGCTCAAATATATTGCTTTATTACCCTCTTTGGTTAACAGTAGCACCATTCACCTGTCCCCCATTCTAGAAGACTCTAGCTTCAATTTCTACTCTCCGGGACTCCCATCCTCAGACTTTCCTTCTGCCAAATTCGAATGCCCTTTCCCCACTTTGAAAATTCTACTCATCTTTCAGAGTCCAATTCAGTTCACTCTTTTATAAAGGCTTTTAAAAAGAAAAAGAATATTATGTTAATAAACAAAAGAAGCCTACAGTCAGTTCTCTTGTAAGACTTTTAAAAATTATATTCTGCTGCTCCCTATGGAGCAATTGAATCCACGTTTCCCTTATAGAATCATTTTCCCCAACTTTTCTTAAACTAATTGTAAGACACAAAAGGTAAGGCACTGTAAACAAAAAAAATCAAAACACTTATACAGAGGGGAAAAAATCCCAGAAGGAAGCATCTCTAATCTCAAATAGTAAAATATTAGAAAATCATCATTAGCATATGGAAGAACTATGTGATTTTACAAGAGAAGCAATAGAGTTTTTTTTTTACCTTTCCTCTCCTCTGCAAGGTTGAATTAATTATTCCCCCATCTATAAACCCATAGCAATTTAGGTAAACTTCAGTGATTGTACTTAATAGGTATCTGCCTAGAGATATGACTCTCAAGTGTAAGTTTCCCATATTTTATTCGCTTTTGTATACTTTATCCCAAAGGAAAATATTTCTATACTTGTAATTCCAAAACATAAAAGCTCTTAAAAGAACATTATAAACTACAATGGTTCCTAAACATGTACATTATCTAAACAATATACACATCTCTATCACTGAAAACATATTTGGATAACTGGTAAAAAAAAAAAATCTATCTCTTCAAGTTAGGCAATGTAAGCACTGGTAATAAAGTATAACACTGCTTTATTATTATCACCCATAATGAAATAGTGGTAATCACAACAATAAAATAACTACTATTCATTTATGAATCTGA